AGTTGGGGTGAAAACTATCTATCTCCAGTGGAAACAAGTAATTTTTGGTGGGGGAAGGTGGGGAAGAGCAGGCTTTCTCTTTTTTCTTTTTTTTTTTTTTGGTAGTCTTATGATCTGATGGGATTTTTATATAGTCATTTAGATTCAACTATAGTTATATGAGTTAAATTTGTTTCGTTTTTGCTGTCATTGTTGCTCACCTTTACTAACACCTTAAAATATACCATTACATCATCTTTTTTTTTTCTTAGATATTGTCTGTTCGTTCTTTCCTACGAGCAACAATTAAGTCAGCTTATTTTGGCCTCCTTGACCACCATCCCATCTTAGTCAGTCATATCTTTTTAAATATTTATCTTTTTACTCTCTAACTCTTCATATTTAAATGATACTTTGATTCTCACCAGTCAACTATGAGATAACATTTACTCACCTTTATTCTCCCACCTTTGTTAATGTCTTTGGTTTCCTCTTAAATTCACAGTTAAATTTATTCAGTGCTAACCAACAGTGCTTTTGCTGAGAGTTCCTCAGTCTTCACTTGATTGAATAAAGTTTTTCCTCAGTACCTCAGGAGTGCTAGCTAATGGATGTGACATTACCTGAGTTCTTACATGGGTAAAAGCTTTTTCTGTAGCCTTAGTGCTCGAAAGACCTCTTGGCTAGTTATAAAATCTTTGATTCGCCCTGTATTTATTTCCTAGGGATGCCATGACAGATGAGCACAGACTGGGTGATTAAAACAATAGAAACTTACTTTCTTGCAGTTCTGGAGGTCAGAAGTCTGATATCAAGGTGTAAGCAGTGTCACTCTTTCTCTGAAGACTCAAGGAAGGAATTCTTTCTTCTCTCTTCCAGCTTTTGGTGGCTCCAGGCCATTCCCTGGACTTCCTTGCTCTGTAGACACATTATTCCAGTCCGTGCCTCTGTGGTCATGTTTTTTTCTATGTATTTCTTTGTCTCTTATAAAGAACACCAGTCATTGAATTTAGGGCCCACTCTAATCCAGTATGACTGCAACTTTAATTATATCTGCAAAGACCCTATTTCTAAACGAAGTCACATTCTGAAGGTTCTGGGTAGAAATGAATTTTGGGTAGGACACTATTCAGCCCACTGTACATTCTTTTTTCTTGGTTAACTAGTAGAAACTGATAATCTGTATGGGTGCATGTTTATTTGTGTTGGCAAAAAGGCTGATAACCTGATTTTCTTTTCTTTTTAAGCGTCTTGGTCTTTTTGCCTGGAGGGCCAAATAACTTTCTCTTTAAAGTCTAATAATAGAACTATAACATATCTCAGATTCAGAGTTGGCATACTGGGCAAATGTCTATATAGTATGCCTCTCAGTATGGACATTTAGGTATTCTTTTATTTCAGGGACATTTTCTCGATTCATAATTTTAAAAATTAGTTCTATTTTGTTATTTTGTTTTTCTTTTTCAGGGACTCCTAATATATGTTTGTTGACCTTTCTTTCACTGGCTTCCATATCTATCACTTTCTTTCTGGTCCCTTTTATCTATTAACTTGTTTCTCTTACTTTTTGCTTGTCACATTGCTTGCTATGCTTCCCAATAAGTCTGTTGTCCTTTGTATATTCTGTGATTTAGCATTAAGTCTTCAGTGATTTTGCATTTTCAATTTCCTATGTTATATGAGTTTCCATTTCATATCTTCTTGTTCATCTTTTCTTGAGATTTTTTTATTTGCTTATTTCATAACATTCTTTTTTATTTATTGCTTGTTTATTTATTTTGAATCAAGTTAGAATGTTGTGTTATAGTTTTCCTCTGCTTTGTAGAAACTTTTAAGTAGCCCGAAGTGTTTTAATTTTCATTCTCTGTGTTTTGTGATTCTGTTTTTCAGTGGACACTTTTTATTCATATTTGGGCCAGCTACTGTGGAATCCAGTGGAGGATGGTGATTCCCAGTTCAGGAGTTTCCTTTTATGTTAGCTTGAGAAAGGCATTATCTTTATTTTAGGCATCTTTTTTTGTTTTCACATTTCTTCTTGTTGGATCCTGTGTTGTTTCTGTAGAGTTTTACTTTCAACCCCTTCCTTCACTTTAGTTCTGTCTGCTGTCTTCCAGATCTTCTCTCTTTTGGAGAGACGTCCTAAAAATCCTAAAAGATGTCATGCGTCAGCCAGCGTCTTATTAAGATTTCACTCTTGGCTCCATGTCTTCTCCAAGCCTCTTTGTCTTCTCACTGCTCTATTGCCAAGTTTCCCGCCTGCTTTCAGTAACTCTCATTTTGGATGGCACCTTTTCTTCTGGGGAGAAACCCTAGCTGATGTTATCTGAGTTCTACAGCCAGAGTCCTCTGACTTCTTGATGCTTCTATGACGCTCCTGCCATATTCCCCACAGTGATGTCAGCTGTGGCGCTCACTGTGCTGATCTTTGGTATTTACTCCCCTTCTGTCTCATAAATTCTGGTTGATAGCTATCCTCTGTTTTCTACTTATTGGTATTGATTATGGGTGTTTATATTTACTCTCCCTGTTGCTGTGTGGGGTTTTTAGAAAGAAGTGGGAGAAGAGTCTGAGAGACTGCCATCATCTTTGGGGAACTCAGAAACCCAGACTCTGTTAATTTTTAAAATTTTTTTCTGCAGTCAGGAATAAGTAGTAAGGGAGCTGCGTTCATTGCTAGCCATGGTGGACTGTATTTTATCCCATTGCCAGTGATTGTTAGAACAACAGTCTAATCGGGGTAATTCTGAGTAGGCTTGTTTTCTTGTATAGTTTGGTAGACAGTGAAGATCTTCCAAACCAAGAAGAACATTTCAAGCCATCTCTAGAGTCTCCTCACCTTCTTAAAAACTGTGCCATTCTGAAGTCTAGAGCTTTTTTTCTTTTTATACTGTTTGGTAAAGGAGATATGTAAACCTAACTGACCTCTTTAACAGTTGTAACATTTGAATTATCCAGGGTGATTAGTTGTGCTTATGTCATAGGTTGTCACAGGTTGGGTTCCCCAGAAATCAGACTTCGAGATGGAGATTAGCATGCAGGATGTTTACAGGCTGTGCTCTTGGGATTAATTTTGTAGAAGGGAGGGAAGGAAGCTGGATTCATGGTGAGATTCAGTTCCAGTGTGATCCCAGTGAAAATTCAGCAGCCACCCCACAGGGATCTCGAGCCTAGGAGTTCTTAAGCTAATTATTTAGTAGTTATTACCTCTGGCTGGGCAGGATTATATGGCCTTTTTTAGCTTTATCTAAAAACATGCTTGTTTTAATGTAGGAAAAAAACAAACATATTACTTTGTACTTAGAAAAAAAATAAAGCTTTCTGTTTTGGAAAAAAATACAAGTAATTCTGTGGAAGAGGATATTTTTTCATTCATTCTTGATACTTTGAGTTGTAGTTTTAAAAACCCTACTGTTAAAAAACAAAACAAAACCCTACTGCTATTAATGGATATTCTATTTGCTTTGCAGCTTGGGCAATGGTAGATGGTGGGTCAAATGTGAAAGCCCGCACTTACTACAATGAGAAGACCCCGAGGATCGTTGTGTCTCGCTCCCATTCGGGAATGGTCAAACAGGTTGCTCTTCAGACTTTCGGAAACCAGACTACAATTATCCCGGCTGGTGGTGCTGGTATGTTCCTCCCACCCTGTGATGCCTGTAAAGTGTTCCAGGCATGGCCGAGGCCTTGTCAGGAAAAAGATTTGGTTGCCCCACGCTTGGGAAGAAAACGGCAGTAGATGGTATACTGTCAAAACAGGCATGGTCTCCTACTTGGTTATTTCTAGGGTCAGATTTCAGTTGTACATGCCTTCTTGTTAGAAACAGTCTCCCAATAGAAACAATTTTACAGTAGTGATTTCTGGTCCTCAAAAGCATCTTCCTGTCAGTCATGTTACTGTCAGTGATGGTCATATATTTATATATGAATAATTATCCTGGTAGTTTAACTCTAGGAATATCAGGGTGAGAAGAAAAAATCCAAGTACATTGCGATGCTTCGTATGGCAGAGGGATGCTAGGAACCATCACAGTGTTATTAGAATGGCTAATCCCTGGGTTGCTTTTTCCACCCTGGAACTCCCAGCTTATATGTCCATGCTGAGCCAGAGTCCAGTGCCCACCTAGCTAACTTAATGTATATTCTGTACTATCGTATTGGCTATGTTATAGATTAGGGGTCAGCTAACTTTTTCTGAAAGACCAGATAGTATATACCTTAGGCCTTATAGTCCTTATTGCATACTGTTTTTTGTTTTGTTTCTTAAACCACCCTTTAAAATTATAAAAATCATTCCTACTTTGAGGGCCATGTAAAAAAAGGCCACAGCCTGGATTTGGTTCATAGGCCATTTGCTCACCCTTGTTTTGAGTGCTGTTTAATATGATAAAGGTGTTTTAATTCAAATAAATAGCAAATAATGGTCAGAAACATTTGTTTGAAAACCTTTTCAGCACAGTAATAAAGGGAAAAATAATGCTTATTAATTTTTAAGCCTAATAGTTTTAGTTTACTGATTGCATATATCTGCCTTGCTTAATATGACTTTGTTATAAGCTCTCCATTAGGTAGGTTGGTTTGAAAGGTAATGGCCAAAATACTTAGTAGGAATGGGATAAACCAGGTTCTAGACCCTGTTTCTCCTGTGGTTGTTTCATTTTATTATCTTATTTTTAAATTCTGCTTCATTACAAATAGGAAGTAAGATAGTAGTGTTATTTTGTATTCTCTTCTTTCAAATCCACCCTTTATTCAAGTGAAACCTATGAGTGTTTATTTCAGTGTTATCTCCCATAGGAAATGCTATGTACCGAATGTATCATTTTATAGAAAACAATCACAGAGTAGGTGTAAATTTGAAAGATTATAGACATATATGTGGTTATACTTGAGAATACCTTAATAAGTTACTTTGCAGTATATTTTTTGCTCATTTACATTTAATGTCTGTACTGTTACTTTAAAAAAAAAACAAACAACTTTTAAATCGTTTTAGATTTAGCGGTTGCAAAGATAGTATAGAGAGATCCTACACATCCTGTGCTGTTATTTTTAATATGGTACTCAAAAAGAGTAAACTACTTTCTTTAAATCTTTCTAACAATAACGTAAGTTCTTTGTTTATCTTTTAGGTTATAAAGTTTTAGCGCTCTTGGATGTGCCTGATAAAAGTCAAGAAAAAGCTGATCTATATATTCATGTGACATACATAAAAAAATGGGATATATGTGCTGGCAATGCCATCTTAAAAGCCCTTGGGGGGCATATGACTACCCTGAGTGGCGAAGAAATCAGTTACACTGGTTCTGACGGCATCGAAGGAGGGCTCCTGGCCAGCATCAGAATGAACCACCAAGCTCTAGTCAGAAAACTCCCAGATCTGGAGAAGACAGGGCATAAATAAGAAGCTGATTACAGATCGCAGCTCTTCCAGAGCTGAGCGGTCATCCGGAGACTCTGGAGGCTTCAAAGGATTGGTGGAAACTATGCATGGTTAAGGCCATCCCAGACTTTTTAAAGTATTTATGAAGCATCAGAGACTTATTTTCCCTGTAATAAGATGCAAGATCAGGGAAGATGGGTTGCTTCGTGTCTCAAGTATTGTCTTTATTTTTGAGACTATTTTCGTACAGTTGTCATACACAAGGCGTG